TCTCCTGCCCGAAACCCTTCTGTAAGAGGATGTCCAGTTGCCTACAGATGGGCTTTGGGTCTCTATTCTGCATTCCCCTTTATTCACAATGACATGATTTTTGGTTCTGATGATGCCTGATACCGGATCCCTTCGGCACCTCGTGATCGCCTCAGGCGCTCTTTCTTACGTGCCTGTGTAGGTTTTGCTCGAGTAGCAATAGTTACCCAGTGCATTATTTGCTTCCAGTAACAATATAACTGAGTTGAATCATAAAATCTAGTATAGATGAGATGTTAAACGGTCACTTCATTCAATCAACCACTTTCACGCAGACTCTGTGCAAACTCTTACAAACTTGCCAGGACCCAGGAAAGGGTGATTCCTACTTGCTGCTGGCGTTGCCCGGCAATGCCGAGAGGTTTCTTCACTCTGGAAACTGGTCTTTGGCAGCGTCTCATCGCGTCTCATGCTGTTCTCCTGCGAAGGTCTCCTTTGTGACAACGTGGCCCCAGTCAGCCCCGTTTCAGCACAGGATTCTGCCTCGATGCCACACCTCCTGGGTCACTTGCTATTGGTTTGCACGTCCCTGTGCCTGCACAGGGACTTTGTCTTTCTCAAGCTGAAGCTCAGGGAGGTTCCCATCCTGCTGTAACTATCAGCCCTTCGGTCAGCGCCTTCCACACGCTGCTTGATGCCGACAGTCTGTCTATCCGACGCAGGCTGCTCCGCTTCCTAGACTGTAGGGAAACCTCACCTCACCCAGAATGAACACCAAGTGGCCTATTCACTCTTTCATGCCGGGCACCGAGTAACCGCTGTGGCCGACAGTGGGCAGTCTGTGCACAGGGAACGGCCCCTGGAAGATCTCCACCACGCTCTGCGAGTCTTCTCAGCTACCCCTTGATCCCCAGCAAGTTGATTCGTGTCCAGAGCTTCTGGGTGGCCCAAGGGGAGTGAGGGAGCCCCTGCCCTGGGGACAAGTCCAACTTCTACTAGTTCTCAAGGGCAGGGCAGGGTGGGGCAGCCCCACCCCTGACTCTGTTTCCAAGGCTGCCATCATTAACAGAAGCAGCCTGCTCAGGTTTGCTCCCACGGAGGGGCTGGTGGGCTCAGAACTTTCTCTTTCCTAGTGCGCACCCCGGGCCCCGTCAAGTGGACAACATGGAAGCACATAAGCCGGCGACTGAGCTTCCTCAGGGAGGACTTGAGAGCTCCTCCAACGGCTGAACGTGCTGCTGCAAAGCTGCCTCGGCGCAGCCACCCTGGAGAAGAGGGTAAAGCGGTCTTGGGTTTTCAGAGCCCCTAATTGTTTGCAGGAGTAGAAAGCCCGGTCTTTCTCCTGTGGCGCCCTGGGTGGTGGCAAACTGCTGACCTTGCAGCTCAAAACCACCACGTCATCAGGGCTCCGTGTGAGGGAGGGAGCACAGCGCTAATTAAACGGTGGGGCCCTCTATCTGGGCCACACTTCAATGCCCCCTGGTTCGCCATCTCATGACCACCCCACTGAGCAACAGGTCCTTATTGATCTTTTCTCTCCTACACCTGCCCCCCCCCTTCCTGCCAGCCCCCAGCCCCGAAGAGAAGGCATCTCTCATCTACAGGATGCGGTCTTCCAGTGTCCCTGGCTTCTAGCCAGAACCCGCCTCCCCGTGGA